AGTGCAGGAGTCACTGCTGTAACAGATTTAGAATCCTCCTGGTAATGAGTTTATTAGAACTTTGTGATGACCACAGACTTTGGGTTTATTGCTGATGCAACTGGAATTCAACCAGAGTAAAGGACTTTAAATGACCACAGAGAGCACATCTTCTCAGTCCTAGTTTACTCAAAAAACATCACATACAAATGTAGGATGGCTGAAAATATTTTCGTTCATGTGCATATCCTGTTGAATTTGAAGATGTGTGTCACAAATATTAAACCTTTTTAGTTTTGCGATCACAGTGGCTGCAATCCAAGAGTCCATAAAAATGTTTAAACTAAAACAAAATCAAAGTCATTATAGGAGGAAACTAATTAAATCTCCAAGATTTATTGATTCCCAGAATCAATAAATCTTGTCTGAAGCATGCAGACAGGGGAATCCTATAACATTCTGTTTTACACAATCTGTTGGAGCTTATCCTTTGGATATTACACAAAACTTGTTTTATTTAAAAAAAAACACGTGCTGTAATTAGGTTCCCAGAGTCTTTGAAGGGGGGAAATACCCACAGCACCTTTTTTGCACATATTTTTTTAAAGTGTTCACTACTGGGGATAATTTTTCAGGTGTTTAGCTTTCTTTTCTTAGGCCAGATCTTCCTGAACTTTTTTTTGCTAAAAAGTTCAGTCTTAACCTGGGGTTACATTGACTATGTCATCCATACACCTTGTATGGATGACATAATCTGTCACAAAAAAAAAGCCATTTATTTAATGTTGCGATAGACATCTAGTTAGTTTTTTTTAATGCAAGACTGAGCAAAACCCCATGTTTTCTGAAGACCTGGCATGTCAGATACAAACACCGATAAAGGAAGGGTGAACTGGATCCGGTTCATTTACAGTTCAAGTCCAATTAGACTTGATCAAACTGCATGTTTATCTTTGTAATGGTTGGAAGGACAGATTTGTTTTATTTATTATTGGCTATTAGGCTCTTTACTGGCCTTTCGTATTAAAAGGCCAGTAAAGACCCCTTTGTATTACATTAGACCCACCACAAACATGTCTACAATCTGACAGATGGCTACTTTAGGAACAACCTTAGACTGAACACCAGCAAGGTCAAGGATGTCATAGTGGACTACAGGAGGTTCAGGAAGACTGAACACTCAGTCCCAGCAGTCTCACACCCAACTCATTGAAAACTGGGAGTTGGTCAAGCCCTGTGTACATCAGATACTGACGCAACGGGGATACCTCTTTTGTCATTGATTGATTAGTGTGATGTGGCTGAGGCAGAGATTTTACATGAACTGCAAACTGTAAAACTAACACAAACCCAGCCTTATCCCCTAGACATAAATGAACTCTAGTATACATGTTACCATACACTTGTAAAGCTACCATGAGGAACTTTGTAGTCTAAAATCTTAATCTCAGAACATGTGATTGTTAGGTGACACAACATCTCCAAATTCTCATACGCCTTATGCATTCATGTCTGATAAAAAAGACTATTGATTGAATAAATGATCTTCTTTTTTGATCTCACAGTGTAGAAATGTACTCGTTACATTGGCTCAATAGTCAAAAAGGAGAAAAAGGTGCACGGGGGTATACACAGTGCGTCCAAATATGTATATAACAGCTGAAGTCACTTATTTAGCAGGATTATTATACAGGGTTATTGCACAGGGTATTAAATGGGTATTTGTAGAGATGGGTATTTATATATAGCTATTGTGCTTGATATCAAATATAAAAACAGGTTATTGCACAGGGTATCAAATATTAATTACACATTATTTATTGCACAAGTTATTGCTGTTCAGTGTACGGAAATATTGCCTCTACTTGAACAGGGAGGTATGGAGAACATGGCTCGCATAAGTCCTAGGCATTTATATTTCCTCTGATCTCTCCTGGACTGGGATCACCTCCCACCTGGTGAAGAAGCCCCAACAGCAGCTCTTCTTTTATCAGAAAACAAACACAAACCAGACTCTACCTGACTGTTTAAGGTTGTAGCATGACAGTGAAGATTGTGCGCTGAAAGGCACAGGGGAGGAAGGACATTAGAAGTGTTTAGGAGCGAACAGAAGAACACAGACTCAAGGAATCTCTTTTCCAAAGCTGTGACAGGCAGTCACTAAACACCCCTAGAGTCAATCAAATAAACCTCCAGCCCATTTTTAGCCCATTTCAGCACAAGCTATTCTTATGTAAATACTAAATAGTACCTGCCATATTCAACGCTTTTTTTTTGTTTAACATTTTTGAATTCTCATTTGAGTATGCTTGTTTTTTTTTGTTTTATTTTGATAGTGTTTTTATTTTTTATTTTATTTGATAATATATGAGCTGTTTTCTCTATGGTGACATAATGATGATAAAGACTACTAGTTCTTTTTCGTACATATTTCTAAAGCTGTTATCTAAGGGTACTATAGTAATTTCTTGACCCCAGGATTTTACTCTTTGCTGGAGTTCTGCATCATAAAGCTTTGAGAAATTTTTACCACCCATATGTCACACTTACTGTGTGGTAGCAACAGACTTAATGGTCCTTTTTGAACCAAGTGGCAGAAATAAAATTATGTAATCCAACCACCGTTGGAAAAAACAGATGAATAAATAAAAAGGCAGTATTACATTTTAGCGCTGTGATAAAAGATGACATTCTAATGTTTAATAGGTGCCAAAAAATGTGACCATCAGTGTATAACAGCTCTCTGAGGCAGCCATTTCACTCTAGTTGTTTGTTCACTATTGCTTTTGCTTTTCATTAGATAACTGTGCAACTTATTTTGCAAAGCTAGTTAAAACAAAATCTGAACTTGAATAACTGCAGGCTTGCATTTTTTATAACATGAAAACATATCATTATCTAACCATGCTATATTTTAACCACTATTGTTGGGATTAGAAAATAATTGAACTTTTTTCACATTTTTGCAGAGACTATGGGAATTGTTATCTTTAAAAACAGAACGACAAAGAGGAAATCATGTCTTTTTGTTGCATTTAACAGGTCCAGGGGAGTTTGCTTTTGTTTCTAATTGCAATGACCTCTTTGGGAGGAGAAAAGGAGATTTAGCTAGTCTCCTATTTTCTGTTTGGAGCTGGATTTCTAAAAATGAATAGTGAGTTTCCCTGAAAATCAGTCAGATGTAACAGAAGCTTAATAGCTTTTCTGTAGTCCTCCCTGCTCCTAGGATTTACAGTTTGTTCTTGGCTTTTCTTCTTTAATTAAAAGTTTTTGAACTTGTTATTGATGAAGCATACATAGAAGTCTTTGACATTCTAGTACAGTGTCATTTTGGAGCCAGAAAGACCCTCTGAACCCTTGTTGAACACATGCATTCAATGCTAGGACTGGGAAATGCCATATTTGGTAATAAAGTAAAATGTCATAGAATTTTCTCTGGGATAAGCCACAGCATAGTCGTGGGGATATCCAGTCTCTAAGCATAAGCTTAGAGAGTTTTAATCCTGGGCAAAGCCAGCAAGCAAACCAGCAAAAGTGACAGCAGAGGAACGTCTCTCATCACAATACATTAAGCATGGACACACAGGCTTCAAAATATTGTGCTGCTAAAGTGTAAAAAAAAATAAATAAATAAAATAAATGTTCAATGAGGTTCATGCAACCGGTGCTGTTTAGCAAACATATCAGCATCTGAAGACAATTGTTTTGTTGAACTATACTATTTAAGCAAAGTGGAAATTAAATGCAGTAGTTAAATCTGAGCCAGTGTAATAATTCTACACCTTCAGGGTTAATCTTTAAATCAGGCTGTAGCTGCTATAAACATTGGAGCAGTGAACTAGAAGAGTTGGATATTGCTGCATTTTCAGCCATTGTGAATGTTATGTTTTTACAGCCTATTGATTTCTAACTTCCTTAACCTTATTAGGAATGAAATGAAGCAAATATGTTTTATTTATCATGCAGGCTGTTTACGGTGCCATTTACCAAAACTTTATAATGAAAATTCTTAGTGAAAACACATTTTTGAAAACATATGAGAAAAATATTTAACATTTATTTTCTTTTATGCCTGTTTTATCCTTGTATGGTCAATTGTTATCAGTTATTATAAAAAATAGTAACAAGATTCAGATTCTTAAGTATCCATTCATAACAACATATATATAAAAAAACATTCATAAACTTTCCTTTAACATAAATGTATTCCATTTCTGCTGTCAGCAAGTTTCTATGCAATATTGTCAAAGGAAATTACTCACTGGATTGCATAAGCAAGAGACACATGTCTAAATCAATAGCCCTAATTTACTCTTAATTTGATCAATAAACAATTAAAATCAACGTCCCAATCTGCTGGGTGATGTTGGAGAAAAAGGCAGGAGCCTCTGGTTTACTCAGGGGTTGTTTTTTCTTTGTTTTTCTTTAAGACTTCACCTGTTCTCCTATCTTTCCTTTATAAATGCTGGAGGCTATAAAAACTACACTGTAGCATGTCTACCTGACTAATATTTTACTAGGTTACCAAAATGACAATCTGGTTACAATAAACAGATTGGGAAAGTTGGAATGTATGCACTATAATTTGCTATGGCACCAATGGATTTGTTGAAGATTATATTAAAAATGGAATCTTATATTCAGTAATCACTAACACTTTGCTTTAGTAGTAGTAGTTATTTAATTATTATTCTAGATTATTTCTAACAAATCCTGAGATATAGCCGATGCTTGGGTTTTTTGGAAAATAAAAGACCAAAGATAAGACGAGATAAAGACGAAAAGACTTGTACTCGGGTTTAACTCTAAAATGTAGTAAAAGTTAACATTGTCTTGAGTTTAAACCGTGTCTTATGAAATGCATAAGAAATGAAAACCACCATATTTTTAAAAACATACAGAAAAAAGATTTATTCATTAAAGATCATCTCCCTGAATTCAGTATAGGTACCTAATCTGTCTAAAATATAGGTGAGATCAACTATAAACAGAATGACCTCACATTTTTGTTCTTTTTTTAGTCTGTTCGCAGTTCTCGAGAGGAGTCTACGCCATATTTGGGTTCTACGATAAGAAGTCTGTCAACACCATTACATCGTTTTGTGGCACTCTACATGTCTCCTTCATAACGCCTAGCTTTCCTCTGGACGGGAATCAACAGTTCATTATCCAGATGCGGCCTGATATCAGGGGGCCACTCCTCAGCCTTATTGAGTACTACAAGTGGGACAAGTTTGCCTATCTATACGACAGCGATCGAGGTAAGTCAAAAACAGAAAGACAAAAGGAAATAAATTAAGGGATTTATTTCCAAACTCTTTTTGCTAAACTCTGTGGTGAAACACTTCAACAATAAGAGCCTATTTGAGCTCTGGCTCTACCAGTTACCAATTACAATCTCTCTTAATGCTTCTTGGTCATCCTGTTTATGTGAAAATGAGTAATTGCTGCATATAATTAATATATAAAACTCAAACTATTTGATGTTTTCTAATATTCACGCTAAAGGCCATGAGCCAAAATGCATTGTCTACAAAAAAAGTTTCCTTGTACTTCCAAAAGTTTCTAAAGATTTCACTTCAACAGTTATTTAGCTCTTTCCATGCAACTTGGGATTCAGTTATCATGTTAGATAAAATATACAATTTTTGGGGACTTATGGGGACGTTTCATTGAATTGAATTCATTTTATATGGCCTAACCCTAACATATTTCTAAGCCTAATCCTTACCTGAATGGAATTCACACTTCAGTCCTAAAACTAAGCCAGAATTACATTCTAAAGTTATTTTCTTTTCTCAAAGAAAAGAACTTTAAAATTTAAAATAAGTAGGATTTTAGTCCCCATAAGGACATAGGTCACCATGACATGGCTTTGTAAAATGCATTAAATTCCTCACACTGTCATAAAAACAAGTCCACCCACAAAGATAGCAAAAAAAAAAAAAAAACGAACACAAGTTGTGAAAATACTCGATAGGGTATCAGAGAATAACACAAAGAAGCCTTCTATAAGTTTACCCCAATGAAAGAGAACAGAAATTCAAACCTCTGTGTCTGGTCTAAGCAGATTACCTTTCCCCCTTTTCTTCTATATTATTAGCACTGCCATTTTGTAGAGCAAACTATTTTTCCTCCCCTTCCTATTGGCAAAGCTATTTGCTCTGATTTGTAATGAAATACAAAATTGGATGGACTTTCACTTCAGCACCACAGAATGCCTTAGGTTAATACAGGTAACTGTATCACAACAAAATGTGGTTGTGCCAATTTAGGTAAACAGACGCCTTTACTTTAACAGAATTATGATTTGCAAAAACAGTTTCTGGTGTTATAGGATTTGCAAATAGCTACATTAATATCCATGGATTTTAAATAAAGCCTAGAAATACAACTGTCTTTTAGCAGAACCTGCAGTCTGTGCACTGATCCCAAGTAGATACCTTATGGCTCTCACACTGACTGATTTTCAGAAAATATTATGTTGGTCTTTCAGAAGATTTATGTTCCTTATTGTCTGAATGTTGAAAATGGGAGGGGAGTGTATACGTTATGCTAATCGAGTACAGAAAATATATGTTGGACTCTAATCTAGTTTGCATAGGCTTTTTGCAAAATAAATGTCCTACACTGGTTATTAATGAACCTATTAGAGAGTTTGAATGTTAATTTTTAAAAATGCTAACTGATGAAAAAATTAGTCATTTAACCTTTAGGACCATAGTTGCTTAAGAAATATGACTACCATATCACACAATCACACAAATATTAAAGCAAATTACAACAGAGGACACATACCAAATAAGTAATGTGTTTTAAATGAAAAAATCCATCCATGTACAGACAGCCACTGGGGTATTTGTTCATACACCTTTCCTGACAAAGTCATCCATCCATCATCTATACTAGCTTATTATTGCATAGTCTTGGGGGTGCTGGGTTTTGTCATGGGATAAGAGCCTGCATACACCCTCAATAGGTCGGCAGTCTATCACATTTCAACACAGAGACTAAACCATGCACACAGTAAATCATACTTAAAGAAAAGTTTAATAACTATAACCCCTACAACCATATATGTTCTGGGTTTCTTTAGTTGCAGGTGGATCCAGGACAACTCAAAGACTTGTGACAAGGTGACTGATTAAAGTGGAAGTCCTTTTTTTCCTCTGTTTAAGTGAACATTATGAAAAATGTAACACAAGGTTCCTGCTGTGCTTTTCTATGAACATCAAAAAAACCGTTGTAGATGTCATAACACTCTATATAAAACTGACACAATTCTCACATTATGTCATATTTGTGGTGTTTCATATTTGCACATAGCCTCAGGGATGGTTTTTAAATACTGACTGATTTCAGCGGATTTTCTGCTTTTCTATACTGTTTACACCTGCTTTTTTTTTATCTTTAATGCTTAGTCCCTTTGACTTACAGTAGTTGCTTTGGTTTCTACTGTACATGTGGAGTGCATGGTTGTTGCAGATGTAAAAATATAAAAATAAATACATACAAATATTTCAATTAAACTGATGTAAATATTTGTAAATACTATTTTGCCTGTTACAATATAATTAATTATTTAGGAATAATGAAAAAAGAAAAAAACAGGAATGAAACTACTGCAGTAAGAAGGATGTATACCAAAAGTTACTGGCCTGAATAAGATCATAGATGGAATTTATTGAAAGATGAAAAAAAAAACTACCATCAAACTAATATCCAGATTTATTAGATGTCTAAATCAAATTTGACATTATTCTTTGATCCTTTTCATCAGAGGTTCTTTTCTATTTCACACTGATTGTGTCAAAATCTGAAAGTAAGATTAGACTTCTTTGAACCGTGTTTGAAAGGTTTCACACACAGAGCAGGCTTTTGTTGGCTGAAAGGACTGAACCTTTTTTTAAACCCCCTAGCAATAAGATACAATAAAAAGAAGACAAAGAGAGTACAAAACTTGAATGGGTAAGGAAGCTGCCTATAATAACCTGTAATAAAGATGATAACAAAAAATTGCTTCTAGTAAGTTATCTCGCTTCGCTTTGTCATGTAACTCATTTTCTGCTGCCTTCAACTAATTCTTCCCTAGAAAAAAGCTTATTCTCATAGAGTGACTAACCTATAACATAAAGGAAGTCTCATTTTTGTATTCAGTGTAACTTTTCGATTGAGCTGCTGCAAGGAGAAACATTGAAAAAAGGTTAGATTTATGCTGCTCTTTATGGAGAACATCAAGTCTTAGATTCTGAAGTATACGTTTGTTTTAAGGTGTTATTTTAAGCCGTGTTTTTCTTTTTTCTTCTTACTAAAGAGAAAATGTTGGTAATGTTTGGGTTTATTTTAAAAGACATGTCAGGATTGTTTTAAAAATTCCCTTTTGATGTATTCAGGGTCAACTATATCATCAAAAATGCATGGATTAAAATAAAAAAAAAAAAGAAAGAAAAGGAGCTAACAAAGAAATCCAGTCCATGTATTAGTGAACACCGAGGAACAAATATACAGAGCTATCACCAGCGGCTACAGTATGTTTGCAAACCTAATTTGTACATGCTTCTTATTCCGAAGCTTGACATTAAGACAGTTCTGTTCTGGAAAATGCTTGGTCAATCACCCTGTATTCCACATTTATCTTGACTTTCACTATACCACTCTTTAATTGCTTATCATTATTTTATTAGAGTTCTCTTGTTTGCACTAAATGAATAAATAAGAAGTGGGTTTGCAATTATGGACAATGGCTGTTCTTGAAGCAAGGAGTCAAACCATTGTATCCATATACCTTTAGTAAATATTTGGGTAGACTAAAATTATTTTTAAAATCTGCTACATGGATTAACTTTTTCTATATGTTTTATAATCTGCATAATCTCTTATTGATTTTAGTAACAGTGATACAATGTTTTACTTCCATTAAAACGTTATTACCAGATTTTGGAGTAAAGCCTTGTCAAGAGAGACTGAAGGTCTGATACCTCTTTACAGTAGGTTTCCCATATATTTTACTCCAAACCTACTGAGTTTAATAAACTTTTTTGTTTTTGTTAATAAATGCATTATTGTTGATATAAACATCCCATCTAATGTTATTTAAGCCTTTCACGTTCTACTATAAATATATATGATGAAATATTGCTTTTCGCTCTACAAAGTGCTGTAATCATTTGTTCCATCCAGCCCAGACGACACTTGCCTTCACTGCCACACTGTGCACTCTTGTGTGGGTGTCTCCCCTTTCATGATGTTGTTGCATAATGTCATTTCTGGTGATTAGGCTCCTCTTTCACCCCTAAAAAGAATTTTTTCTTGTCATAAATGTTGGCTTAAAAGATAAGCTGTTATCACTATGCAGATTAGGTGTGAACAGATTCCAATTTTCAGCAGAAATGATTGTGTCGCCTCACATAACCTTGATTAGATGGAAGATGGGCGTGCTGTTTACTGGGAATGTGAGGTACAATTAAGATAGGTACTGCCTGAAGGGGCAAGTAATCACTGCATTACATAGACCTATAATGGCAGGTCTTGTAGGAGAGGAGGGGTAGCTGCTCTGACAGCAGAATTCATCAGACATATAAAGTACCTTTACGAAGATACAGGCAAGCGCAGTATCAGAAAGGACTGACGTTACAACATAGTTAAAAATTTTAAAAAGTTTTAGGTCCTTTAAGTTCTCACAACACAGGAAAACTATCAATATTTTTTTAATTTGCAATTTTATTGGTAAATGTTTTATATATGAAAGCAATACTGTAACGCCATCAACCTTCAGCCGACTCTGTTAAAAATGTTTAATCAGCTATTCTAATGTTTTAGAAAACATAAATAAAAAAGAAAGTTCTAATAACTCTAATTTCTTTATTAATAGTAACAAAGAAAAGACTAAACATATTTTTACCTCTGCGCCAATTGTTGTAGAAAGAACTGCGTCCTGATAAAAATAAATTTGCAATTGCTTCCTTCGTTGATATTTAGTGTTAGGTTCTTTGTGAATCCATAAACACAAAGCAAAAATCAAGCAAATATCCTTAAAAAAAGCCTCTGCAAAAATTAAGGAGATGGCCCTGCTAAATGAATTACTCCTTCAGAAGCTTAAGACAAAAACAGGCAATTCAAGACTTGTCAATTCACAACTTGTATTGGTACACTGGAAGTATTGGAATATATTGCATTGAGCTGCAGATTAAGAAGGATTACCTTAGAATCTTTATGGTATCATTTAAACTCTCCCACTGAGCCTTATCACCTTATAGAGACC